TGAACCAAATATGCATACATTTTAAAAACTTATTAGCAATAAAAATTATAAAAGCTGGGGCTGGAGAGATGGCTCAGCCGTTAAGGTTCTGGCAGATCTTCCAGAGGACCCAGGTTCAATTCCCAGCACTCATATGGCAGCTCAAGGCTATCTGTAACTCAACTTCCAGGGGATTTGATAGACACCCTCACACAGACACACATGCAGGCAAAACACCAAAGAACATAAAATAAAAATAAATAAATCATTTTTAAAAATATAAGAAGATATGGCTACTGTTCAGAATTTTACTAGTAAGAAGGCAAATTTTTGAGACTGTCATTAGGCAGATAATTTGAGGAAACTTTCCACAAAAAGATTAAAAAGAATACTTATGAGTTTACAATAGCCAGAGTTTGTGCAGAGATTTTTTCAAACTATCAGATTTATAAACATTTTATTTTTCACACAACAAATCTTTTAAGATATGAGTAGATTACTTGCCCCAACTAGATACATAAATAGTAAAAGGTATATAACCTGACAAAACATCTATTTTATGTATGAATGTATGTATATATCATCTATCTATCATCCATCTATCTATGCATGTATCATCCATCTATATTTCTATCATCCATCCATCCATTATCTATCTATCTATCTATCCATCTATGTATGTATGTATGTATCTATCTATCATCTATCTATCTCATTTATCAACAGCATAAGAATATATGAACACTTTGTCCTAAGAACAGGATTTAAAGTATTAAAAAGTATTGCAATAAAATCCTATCCATACAGGAGGCTGACATTCCAAAGAAAAGTTCAAAGTTGCAAACTTAGAAAATCCATCCACTACTATTTTCCTTAAATGCCAAGGCATTCATTTTTATAAAGATCAAGCATATTAAAACCTTAACCTGTTTTTGTGCAGATCTCCAGTTTGCCACCTTCTTTCCTGGCCCCACTGCGCTGTCTCATAAGCAGGTGATGTAAGACAAGCGTTGTCACCAACACTCCAGGACACCTGTGTTCGTTTACCCCTCAGCCGATGAAAGAAGGGAGATTAATTACCAGGGTGATTTCCTTAACCTCAACCATGCTTTTCCTGAAGTCTTACCAGGTCATGGTGACATGTTCTTTCAATGTCATGGGACAGAGGCCCCCAGAGGATTATATGGAGAAACAGAATCTGATTTAACAAATAGTGACTATTTGTTAAAGGTCACAGACAGAGTGGAATTACAGGTTACCTCAGAGGTTTTACATTTTTAAAAACTCTTACATGCAGGGGTGTTTTGCTGCATGCTATCTGTGTAGCATAGGCATGCCTGGTGCTATCAGAGGCTGGAAGAAGGCATTGATTGCCCTGGAGCCGGAGTGCCAGATGGTGCGTGGGTGCTGAGAATCAAAAAAGCCATCTCTCCTGCCCCACTTTGGAGATTTTTATCTGTAAAGAAACAGTTTCTGGAGTGTGGGGATGAACCATTTGATGCAATTTAGGTTTCTGCCGGACATTAGCTAGGTTTATATATGACCATCTGATGGGAGATGTCATTCTGTATATGTTTCTCATACTGGTTAATAATAAAGCACTGTTGGCCAATAGGAAAGCAAGATAGGCGGGACTAGGAGACAAGGAGGAAGAGGAAGTAATAAGGAGGAGTCAAGATGGAGAGTCTGGAGACCAGCGGCGGGCGGAATAAACCATACTCGTTAAAACCATCAATCTTCTCCTAAGGCCACCCCAATTCCTCGGCTTCTTACATGGAGTCAGAGCCAGTTATAACTTCTTTCTTTCTTTCTTTTGGTGACAGGGTCTCTCTGTGTAGCTCTGGCTTTCCTGGAACTCACTGTGTAGACCAGGCTGGCCTCAGAGTCACCGAGACCTCCTGCCTCTGCCTCCCGAGTGCTGAGGTTAAAGTCATGCCCTGTCATGTTCAGCTACTTTTAGCTTCTTACTGTCTTCCTTTATTCATGAGAAGATTAAAGTATTTGTCACAGACTTATTTGTAAGAGGGTGTCCTGTCTTTGTAGTCTTTTGAAAATGATCTGGGGACAGTCTAAGGGTCGCTTGCTGGTATTCGATGGTATTAAATTTTGGGGTCACAGGGACTTACTTAGCCTCACAGGTTTCCTTCACTTTGAAGGATAGCCCATGGGGCAACAGAAATTTAGCTTTTCTGAGTCCAGTTCTTTCTACCATCCTTAGAGTTATGTATTTGCTTTTCTTTCAACTTTTGCACATATTCACGAAAATATTATCTGTTGGTGGCTAAGTGATAGGGGATTGTTAGCTTTTAAAAATGATTTTTTAATTATTATTGATGTATGTGTGTTTCTGTGTGAGTGTATGCACATCTATGTATGTGGTGTGGGAGAGGATTGTCCATACTGTTTGCTTGCATGGAGGCCCAAAAAGAGGGCCAGGTGCCCTCCTTCCTCCCTTTCTGTCTGTCTGTCTGAGGCAGGGGATCTCCCTGAACCTCGGGCTCGTGTTGTCTGGGTTAGGCTAGAAGCCAGCAAGCCCCAGCCATCTAGTCTCAGCCTCCTTTCTAGCTGGGTTTATAGGTTTGTTGCATAGATGCTGGCCTTTGAACTCTGAGTGCCGGTTCTCATGGTTGGACAGCAAAGGCTGTTAATCCCTGAGCCATGTCTCCATCCTGGGGGTTAACCTTTGTGGTCTGCTGTAGGTGATCCCTGCTGGATGTATAACAGAGATAAACATCTGTTATACATAGCATTAATAGAAGCTGTATTTAGCATGTTCTCAGAGCAGGTGACAGAAATCCGACTTACTAGTGACTTTGGTTTTGTGTTGCCTGGTTTGGTCTGCTTGTCTATATGTGGCCTGAAGTCAGTTAAGAATCCCATGCTCTAGAGAAAAAAGAGAGGAAAGAAAAAGAATTCCATGCCCTGTGTCAAAACATCACTGTCTTCATCTCTTGTGTGGTTGATTCTAATTCCATTTGCCTGAAGCCACTGTTCAACTTTCTTCCACCGTTAGCCTAGTGTTATAACCCAGGGCTGGGGCCAAGCATTTGTGACATGAGATACAATTTTATTTAAAAATAAAAGGAAACAATTGAAAACAAACAAACAAACAAAGCTCAAAAAGGCTGAGCAAATAGCATGAGCAAAGCCCTGGGTTCCACCCCTAACAAATAAACAGGAAGAGAGGGAGATAGAGTTCTTGTTTTGTGGTTTTCCTGTGGCTCTCTGTGCGTCTGTATCTGGGACAGAGATATCTCTTTACCAATCACTGAAGTAGAAAGTATTTTCTAACTCTAAAACATTTTAACACACTTGATTATAATGTCTCTGATATGAAAAGAACATTATTCTGATTGGCTTGTAGAGAACACGGGAGGAATAATGGCTTAGACGGGATGCGTAGTCTTCCCAATAGTGAAACGCCGTGAGTGTAAACCTTCCAGATAACGTGCATTTTTATGGAAAGGGCTCCAGGACTCATTAGGAAACAGCCTTGCTACCTGGAATAGCTTCTTACCCTCAGTAGAGTCACTGGCAAGCTGTTCATGAAATAACCACACAGAGTGCTATAGCACTGACTTTTAATTGTTCCCATCTCAGAACTGTTTTGCCTTTACTGGAAGCACACCTGAAGGTTCTTTTAAGCATGGAACCTGTAACTAGAACCTTATACAATGACCTGTAGAAGCCAGGCAGTGTTGGCACACGTCTTTAATGGAAGGAGGAGGCGGAGGAGGAGGAGAAGAAAGCCCTGTAGAAGGGTGTCCCACCACTGATGGCATCAGTGACAGACTGCTGGACATCATCTCTTGAACAGCTGTCACAGTCCACAGCAGGCAAACCTGTTAAGCCCAGTAGCCTGAGTTCTATCCTGGGACTCACATGGTGGGAGAGAACTGACTTTTGTAAATTGTCCCCTGACCTCTCAATGTGTGTCATGGTACATGTGCATGCTTGTGAGCACACATTCCTATCTTTCCAATAAATAAATGTTAAACAAAATAAAAACTCAGCACACTGTACTGAGGACTTTAGGCTGGTTAGCTGATGGGTGGTTAAGATGTGGGGAGAACTTCTTGGGGTCAGGGCCCTAACCTAGAATAGAGGAACAAATAATTCGGGCTCCAGAAGCCCTGCAGTTTGTCCAGGGCTGCTGAGCAGAAACTCCTTTTGACTTTCATTCTTAAGTCATGGAAACCTCTGGATTTGTGGAAAAAGCATGAGGCTTGTAAGTGGGGAGCCAGACCATCCGAAGACTTTCTCAGAGGCCCCGATGAAAGGACAAAGGGAATTTCAGTTCTGTGTCCTTGTCCAGGACAAATTATGCTAATGCTTAAATGTCCCTAAAGTAGTCTACTTGGTGTCAGACTCTCAGTTTGAACCAACAGTGGCTACTTAGTCATGCTGAACTCAACTTCCCGCCTCTTGCAGACTGCTGGTCTGCTGGCCATGGGGATTGCAGAGCCCTCTGCCCCAGCCCCACCCCACAGTGTAAGTATATGGCCCTATTGGACAAAACCAGATCTGAATATAACTCAGCAATTTTACCCATCATTACCTATAACATAACTTTTTAAAATTTTATGTGAATGAATATTTCCCTGCATGTGGTTACAGATTTGTGAGCTGCCACAAGGGTGCTGGGAACTGAATCCCACTCCTCTGCAAAAGTAGCCAGTGCTTTTAACTGACAAGGCATCTTTTCAGCCCTACTTAGATCTCTTTTGCTTATATTACCCAGATCAAGTTTATGTGGGTTTCAACTAATATCTACTTTTCAGATAAAGGCATTTAACTCAAATCACAGTCAGTCAAATCACTTTTCATGCCCCCTCTTCTAGATTTTAGTAAAAGGCGAGTGAATGTTTCCCCTCCAGTAGAGTGATGGAGCATCTCATTTCTCTTTCATGACGACTTTTTCTTCTCAAACCTACTTATAAGGCAATGATATTCCAAATGTACTTTGTTTTTGTGGAACATAAATGATAAACTAAAAATCTTGATAAACATATTCAAAGAGCTAGAATGCACAGACAGCAGAAGTACTTTATTTAAACATGATTTTGTAAACCATCACACTGTATACGTTTTAATTCAACAAGAACATTATTTTTTTCCCCCTCACAGGCTTACAGTAAGCCCTGTGCAAAGTCAAAGAGTTAATACAACAGTGAAGATATACAAGGTGGAATTTCTCAAAGTGTCAAATTGCGGTACTTGATACAAAGACACATAACCACCTGTACCATAAAAGTTTACATGCAATAAAGCATTAATTTATAACTTTAAATATATAGTAAAACACATTTATTTTTTTAAAAAAATCAGGGTTAATTTTATTATAAACCAGTGGATTATTCAGAGGAATATTTATTAAAACTCACTAAAAACCAGCAAATATTGCAACTGAGGTAAAAATTTACACGTAAACAAAACTACCATTTATAAGGACCAAGAAGAGAGGAGAAGAGCTGACTGATTTTCCGAGAGTTGCATCACTCCTTGATGTTTTGAAGTAGCTTCAGGAGATGTGACTCAATGACCTGTTGAACTGCAAAGACAGGCCACCACGATCACAGCACAGAAACAGAGCAAAACCATGCAAACAAAAGGCTGCTCTACAAATTCAACTTAGCCCTGGTATTTTGAAAACTGAAGTTATTTCTACTAAGTGGGACTGTTATGTAGTTCCTAATTCAGCAACAGCCTGAGCATCTGGATTTTCTGTAGTGAAGTTTCACAACTTTTTTTTAAAGTAAAGACTCCAAAGTAACATTTTTGAAAATCTTGCGAACACTGCCCACTTTTCCTTCCGTAACTATTTGAGGTTATGAAAAGAACATAAATGAATTCATTTCTTAACTTTATAGATATCTGTTTAGTTTGCATTCCATTAAAGCATATGTCTGGAGTTAGGATAATATAATGTTTTATGCATGAACTGATAAAAAAGGTTTGGGTCAGTGGCATTTACTATATATCAAGCCTTCCTAAAATGAAACCTGAGAGTTCTAAAATACTCACCACTTCTATAGCCCAAAGCTACAGCTAAATCCATGGAATTGTATCCAGAATCTGTTTCAATTGTTGGGTCAGCTCCATTTTCTGTATCAAACCAGAAAAATCTATATAAATGAGGTGAAGATGCAAATGTCTGTCTATTCCTGGCTCATATGCAAATGGTTGAACATATCTTCAGCTAACCTGAAGGTTATTTGCAACATGCTCACACAAGGTACTGAGCACATGGGTTACAACATTCATGTGGTGGGCTGGAGAAGGTACCTAAGGTCTCCAGAGTGGCCGAAACTCATAAACAACTGGATAAAACTTACACACGAAGACACTGTGCACAGAGGACACCAGACTGGACTCAAAGGTGACCCCAGATGCGAGTGGGAAGGGCAAAAGCTTCAAGTGCAGGGGTGGAGTGTGACAGAGCTGCCATTTTCAGGGCAGCCCGGTGATAACAGAAAACCCAGGGACAAACATCGTAATGTTTGTAATACAGCCAAGCAATAGGTAAGCTCCTCCTAACAGGGAAGTTGACAGTAAAATGCTCCCTGGGCTCCTAAGTAACGACTGTGTTTACCTGCTTACCTAACAGCATCTTTACACACTTCACGTGATTCCCATGGACGGCATAAAGCAGGGGCGTCCCTCCGTTCTGCAGAAGAAAAGGCTGTCAGCATTCTCAATGAGCAACAGTCAATCAAATGCTGCCATGGACTGGGCATGTAAAAGTAGTTTAAAATAACATTAACACTTAGTGAAAAATGTAAATCACAAGCAATAATTGAATTTATAACATTACGATGCTCATCTTAAGTACATTTTTTTCTTCCAAGTCCTTAATAAAGCTTATGTCTCCCTGAAATCGATTAAATCCTAAAAATTACTACAATAACTATTTTATTATTTATTTATTTTTTGAGGCAGGGTTTCAAGCAGTCCTGTGGTCTTGAAATAGGAGGAAATCTTTACCCTCCTATCTCCACCTCCTGAGGGCTATTGCTCCCCACCAAGCAGTTTATGGGCACTGGGGTTTGAACACACGGCCCATGCATGCTAGGCTTGTACTTCAACAACAGAGGCACAGCCTTGTTACAGCAGTTTTAAACTCAACACGTGGACTCACCCAGTCATACTCATTTACATCAACTCCACAGTCAAGCAGCATTTTGACAATATCCGTGTAGCCTTTACTACAGGCCAGTGACAGCGCACTTTCTCGACCTTTTCCTAAAAGCTGGGGATCTGCACCCTGCCGTGGGAAATGAACACAGAGGATTTTCAATTAATTTAAACAAGAACACTTGTCTCTGTCCTATGACTACAGTTTAACACTGAGGGTGGGCCACATTCTAGGATAATAAGGAAATAGCAGAAAGGTGATAGATGTGTTTGTAACTAAAACTGCCTGAATGCCTGCCTGCCTGCTTCCCTCCTTCCTTCCTTTCTTCCTTCCTTTCTTCCTTCCTTTCCTCCCTCTCTTCCTCCCCCTCTTCCTCTCCCTCCCTCCCTCCTCCCCTTCCTCCCTTCTTCCTTCCCTGCCTCTCCCCCTCTCCTGCTGTCTCAATCCTCATTCTCCTCCACTCTGGAAAAGGCCTGGCCCCTCCAGGAGCCTTTCCCTCCAGGACACTGCTGTCCCTGATCCACTCAGAGGGCTGGACATTGAGCTCTTCTTACTGTTTCCCACTGCTTTCCCAGCTAGACCCAGGTAAAGGCAGTGATTTATTTTGTACCGTCTATTTTAATGTCTAGTTGGCTACAGATATAAATACTGTACTGAAGACTTAACTGAGCTCCAGAAAGGACACACACACATTTTCTGAGCATTTTCCTTACATTCTGAAGTAGGAACTCTACCACAGCTATTTGCCCGTGTGCAGCAGCCCACATCAGGGGAGTAAACCCTTCTTCATCCGTGTGATTGACAACATTTTCTATTGAAAAGAAATGCAGTTTTTGTGATCTAATTTAACAACCACATATTGATATCACTTTGAAACTACTGGTATTCTAAAAACTTAGGACTCAACGAAGTACACTGAGATGACTTTTGTTTACTGAAATCTGAATGTGTTGTTGTGATTGTCAGTCTGGATATGTTAAAATGTGCCTTACTATAAAGGAGCGGGGCTCATGGAGCACGCTCTGTAAAGTATAAACTACCACACACAGTACTCTGTTAGGCACAAGGTTGTCACCACTGGTCTCAGGGACAGGAAACCCAAGATAGAATCCTGGCTATTTCATTTTCTAGTGGTTTGATTCTGGGCAAGTGATTTAATTCCTGCTAAACACAGATTAATAGCTTGCATATCTCAATACATACATGGAAAGATCACAGTAAAATAATATATGGCAGCCCTTAGCATTACCTGAATGTATAATTACAACTTCAGCAGCTTCCAAAGCTCTAGCTGGCATCGTTGCCTGTAATTTTCCTTCATTGGTGCAGTTGCTAGCATAACATGTAGATTTGATAATCGGAAACAGTACATTATTCCACCTTTAACCTCATGTTATTCCCTGAATGCAGCCTGATAGTTATAAACTGCACAGCTTTCCCACTACACTTTCGTAGGTTGAACATGGAATTTCTACTTTTAAATATTTGTTTTAGTTATGTATGTGTGGGGGTGGGGTATGGGTGCCTGTGAGTGCAGGTGCTTGTGAAACCAGAAGCTTCAGATCCCCCTAGAGTTACAGTGGGTGTAAGCCTCCTAATGTGGATGCTGGAAATGGAATTCAGGTCCTCTGCAAGAGAGTACCAGCTCTTAGGTTTGGAACCATCCCTCCAGCACCTCCCCTATAGTTAAGTATAAAAAGAAATACATCTGAGTCTTATGAAAATAAATTTCTTGGATCATGCTCCCTGTAATCAACAATGATGGTTTATCAAGACAAGGTTTCTCTGTGTAGCCCTGAACTCACTCTGTAGACCAGGCTGCCCGTGAACTCACAGAGTTCTGCCTGTCTCTGCCTCCCGAGTGCTGGGATTAAAGGCATGCGCCACCGACTCCCACCGACTCCCACCAACACCCACCAACACCCACCAACGCCCAGCAGTTTTCTCATGCATCATAGATATAATAATATAAAAAGGAGACCACATAAGTTCCAGCATGAAAATCAGTGGTTTCTTTATAATCCTAGAGTGTGGGATGTTTTCTAAATAAGTTATGAAATTCCAAAGTCAAAAAGAAGAAAAATTTACAATTAAAAATCTCAAGAGGTCATACAAAACGGACAAATTGAGGAAAACTACATGCACGAAACAAATGACGGAAGTCAATGTCTTTGGAGTTTATATGATACAAATAAAAACTTTTCAGTGGAATTCCTGTGAGGTACGACTTTCCCCCACAGGTTATTAAGAACTGAAGTCTCATTTTGTCTGTGACAGTTTGGAGAAACTGCAACTCTAATGCTAACGTGAGGACAAGCACCTGGTTGAAATGTAAAGACAAGAAGGCAGAGGTAGAGGTGGGCAGGGCACTGGCCTAGCCCATGTGAAGCGCAGATTCAAACCCCAGCACAACATAGTGAAAAGGTATAAAATGGCCGTGTGTAGAGGTACACACGTGTAATCCTAGCACTCAGAAGGCAGAGACAGGAGAACTGTGAGACTGAGGTCAACTTGGGCAACACAGTGAGACTCTCTCAAGGAAAAGATCTTTCGGCTGGAGAAATGGCTCGGCAGTTAGTTTCATTGTTCTTGCAGAGGACCCAGGCAGGTTCCCAGAACCCATAGGGTTCCTGGAACCATCCTAACTCTAGTTCCCAGGGAACCTCTTAAACCCATAAGTCCCAGGAAGGCAAATGTTACTTACACACATACAGGCAAAACCCAAACACACATTAAAAAAAAAAAAAAGTTTAGTAGAACACTCTCCAAAATATTAAATGAAAAAAGACACACTGTAGTGTATGTAGCGTGTTCTTGCTTGTGTATCTAACAAAAGCAGATACATATTCTCAAATGTAACTGTAAATGGAAATGATTTCTAGGAAAATTTCCTGAAAATACAAAAACTTACGATGCTTATTTTGGGGAAAAGGAAGCTAAAACTTCTTTTTAAAATCAAGTGATTTGGCCTGGTGTTGGTGGGGCATGCCTTTAATCCTACCACTAGGGAGGCAGAGGCAGGAGGATCTCTGTGAGTTTGAGGTCAGCCTGGTCTACACAGAGAGTTCCAGGACAGGCTCCAAAGTAATACAGAGAAACCCTGTCTCGGGGAAAAAAATCAAATGATTTGATTTGTATGGGTGTTGTGCCTTGCATGTATGTGTGTGTGTGTGTGTGTGTGTGTGTGTGTGTGTGTATATATACACACACTACATGTGTCCCTGGTACCGTCGAAGGCTAGAAAGAGGGCATCAAAACCCCTACACCTGGAGTTACAGATGGTAGTGAGCTGCCATATGGGTGTTGGGAACTAAACTTGGGTCCTTTGGAAGAAGAGCTAGTGCTCGTAATCTCAGAGCCATCCTAAAGCCCCAAATTTTATACTTTGTTACTTAAAATTTTCCTTTTTGCTATCCACTGGGATATGTGTTTGGCGCGATTATACAACTTCTTTTGTCTTTATAGTTTCTTATACGAAAATAAAACAAATAACAATACCTAATAAATTCAAATACATATTTAAAATATAATTCTTAAAACTAGGCTATTACCTTGTTCAATACGAGTAGCCAGGTAGAGCATTTCCCCTTGAGCTGCCAACTGGTGAACAGACAAAGCTGAAACAATATAATGATAAAATTCTTCAAGTGCATCTCATGGGTACACAGCTGTTGTCTTAGGACGAAGGCAGTATCTTTTCCAAAACAAAACCCACCAATTCATCATTTAATCCTAGCGAAGTACCCTGGTATTACAGATAGTGTTCTGAGAACTGACTCATAAGATAATGACTTCTGCAAATTATTAGTTTTTGGGCAAAATTTATCCTAACGAGTGATTTAGGTACTTAATTTTTAACATGCTACCGTATCCAAACTTATGAGGGAGGCCCCCAAAAGACATTCCTTTTAGTTCTCCTAGTGATTCCATTGAACAGCTACCTTGTTTTCCTGCGAGAGGGTCTCACCACACTTCCCAGCCCAAAGCTAAGCATGAAGGCTCAAGCAACCCTCCCACCTCCTCCTTCTGAACAGATGAAAGCACAGGGGTATACCACCATTCCCAGCCTTTTAGATGCTAGTTTGTACATGTAGTTTTAAATGTTCGTGAGTGGGTATTTCACCTGCTGTGCCCAGAGAGGCCAAAGAGGGCCTCGGATCCCCTCTTTCTGGAGCTACTGGGGGTTGACAGCCAAGTAAGTGTTGGCAATCCAATCCATGAGCCCTGGAAGAGCAGCCAGGGCTCTTAACCTCTCAGCCATCTCTTCAGCCTCCTAAATACTTTCATTTTGAAGTTGGATGGGTTTTCTTAACATTAGGAATGAGTTCATAAATAGAAAACTGGCTATGTCAGGTTTGTTTTTTTGTTTTTTGTTTTGTTTTTTTTTGAGGGGGTTAAGTTTAATTTTAAAGACAGTCTCATTATGTAGCCTGGATAGCCTTAAACTCCTGATCGTCTTACCTCAGTCTCCTGAGTTCTGGGATTACAGGTGTGATCACCATGGTTGGTGAAAGTAAATTTATGAGTAGAGGTTTAGTTGAGGCTAGTTAGCATGTTAACTCTGGCTAGCATTACGAATTATTATTCATAACATGGGGGACAGTCTTTAGCTTTTTTTTTTTTTTTTTTTTTTTTTTTTAGCAGAGAAGTTTTATGGTTGAAATATTGTAAGACAATAGCTTTGAGAAGCACCTTTAAATAATACTGCCTTTAGTGATGACTGGGTAGTCTTAATACAAAAAAGCAACTGTAAGGCACATACATTTATGTAAACTAGGAATGGCCCACAAGTGGAGTTAGAATGCTAGAGGAAGATTCTTCCTGGCTTAAATGCTACAGTATGCAACTGTGACATCTGCTACAGTGTGCAACTGTGACATCTGTAGGGATCTAAGCTTTCCAAAATAAAGACCAAGATTTCACCAGGCATCAGAATACAGACACACTCACATTATGGTACCAAATGTAGTTACTACCATCTGGGTTTCTCTCATTGAAATACCCATTCCTTACTGAATAGCAGTTAGCTTAGGGAAACTTTATATCCTATATAATGACTTTACATTCAAAGTCATTATATTTATATGCTAATGAGACATTTCAGTAGAAATTATTTAGCTTTTAGTACAAAATATTTCTTAGTGAAATAAAATGTAAGTACATATTCACAATAATTATGTGCCTACATAAGTTAAACATGAAACTCCAAGAACATAAAAACTATGATATCTTAATTTGTAAATAATTCACCATAACTCCCTTCTTTATGGTAAAACTATAAAGGTTTTAATAATATTTTAAACTGTATTTGCTTTCATAGAGATATAACAGGAAATATAAAAAAACATTAAAAAGTTTCAACTTATTAAAGTGGTTAATATATCACTTAAGCTTTCAAAACTAGAATGTTTATTTAGGGATAGTAATATTTCAAAGTCAAGCTCCTAATTTGTAATTGCATTAGTTAATTACACTAGAAGTAATATTCCAGTACATTCTGGGTGCATACTTACAATTTGCTAACAGAGGTGTGGTAGAGACTTCATTTCCCCTGTGCTTGTTGGTTAAAGTAGTTGACTGTTTTATGGGGGAGAAATGTTTTGTTGTAGAGGGGGTGTAGACATGCCTTACTTGAATTCCAGGAGAAGGAGATGTATGGATATTGCACTCAGCTAAATAAAACAAATTAAAATAGTATTTTACTGACAAAGCAGTCTAATAAAAGTGTCAATGTTCACACATGAAAAAAATGTATGAGGCTTAACAGCTTCAACTCAAGTGTTTGTCAGGTGATATTAACTTTGTATGAGTCTATACTACTACCGTGTAAGTTCTACAACAAAAAATTATTAATTTTGAAAAATTTTATTGACTAGTTTCAATATTAATAGATTACAAAGTAACTTTAAAGCATGCTGACAGGTCACTGGATTAAAGTAGTAGTAGATGTCAATTAGTCATGAAACAGGAAATATTAAACTAATTTTGAAAAAGAAGAGGAATATTTTTCTATTATTTAAAAAGATATAACTAGGCCTGGTGGTGGTGGCACACACCTTTAATCCCAGTACTTGGGAGGCAGAGGCAGGTGGATCTCTGTGAGTTTGAGGCCAGCCTGGTCTACAGAGTGAGTTCTAAGGCAGCCAGGGTTCAGAGAAACCCTGTCCCAAAAATCAAACAAAAACAACTAAGAATAACCAAATTAGGGAAATTGTAAATAAAGATCAGTCAAGAATACTATTTGTTGACACAGAGTCTCCCTACGTATCCCTGGATGGCCTGGAACTCAGGATGCAGACTAGGCTGGCTCTCAACTCGCCTGCCTTTGTCTCCCAAGTGCTGGGACTAACTAAAGGCATACATCACCACACTGGCTTAGACAAGGACTATTTTTATAATTAACAGAAATTTAATGTGGGTTTCTGTGGGAGGATGACTTCAAGCTTTTCCTCAACTCTGATCTCATGAAATAGGGCAAATGAAAGCGAATGGAGGGAGTTGTACCATAACGTTCAACCTTTAAATAAGACAGATGCCACCTCCAGGTCAGAGTTAACTTGATCTTGAATATTTTTACTATCTTCTTCATTTAAGGACTTCACAAACCGAGAACATACGTTCATATCAAATCGGTTTGGCAATATGAACTTCATTCCCATGGCAACGCCCTGCGCCGACCCTCCTTCTGGGCTTGGGTCCAGCTGGAGCTCTGTTTTGATGTCCGGTGTGCCAGAGAGACTATAGCTTCTGGGATATTCTTCCACAATCAGCTGAGCCCCAACGTCCACATTTGCTGCTGTAGCCATGGTTTCAATAATTAAAACATCTCTTCATGGTTTCCTCTTGGTTTTTCAAGGCTGTTCTCCACTATATTCTTGATATTGGGATATTAAAATATCTGTAAGATTTGGAAAATTTAAAATGCCATATTAACTTATGTAAACATACACAGTCACTTTCAACCACACATCCAAACAGTGTTTTTGTAAGCATCTGTCCATAACAGGAGGTACACAATATTCAGAGGTAGGTAACCTGCCTATAAACCTCTGTAAATGGCTGTAATGTGTATGAGTTACTGAGCATCATGTGTAAAAAGAGATACCACCATCATCCTGGAAAGGGATGAAGAAAATACAGTATACTTCCATCACTATGTTTCAACACATTTCAGTTAGTTTCTACCCTTTCCTATATCTGACTATTCTCAAATGTTTAAGAGTCAAGGTCATATTAAAACAGTAAGCTACAATTTGAGACTCATTTTTTAAAAATGCTGTTCCTATGAGTGGCTCCCAGTTTGAACTGAGATATAACCAACTTGTAGCCAAGTTGATTAGCACTGTTTTCTATAATACACATGATTCAGACAGCAAAGCACTTTACAAAACTTACTTTAAAAAAGTAGTTATAACTTTGCATTTTGTTTGCACACAAGAGCCACAGCAGGCATGCCATGTGTCAGAGGACTCATTTCAGAAGGTGGTTCTCCTTCCCTTCAATGGATGTCTCAGGGACTGAAGTCAGGCCATCAGTCTTGGCAGCAAGTGCCTTTACCCACTGAGTCATCTCTCTACACCTACAACATTTTCTTTTGAAGGATCAATAGTGTATTTGCCAGCTTTTGTTCAGAGTGAGCATAAACAACTGGACATAAGTTTTAATGAAAAATAAAATATGTAGACTGTGGATCTGTATCACAGGATGTATGACAGTCCCAAATACACAGTTCCCTAAAACGGGAAGAAATGAACATCCAGTTAATTTTTATCATGTGATGGGATACTGAACCTTGGACATTCTGAAAAGGTACTAAGTGTGCAATGATCAGAATTACTTGGAATCAAGAGAAAAATGAATCGACCACTGTTTATAGAGTTTTAATTTTAAAATCATTTCAAAAGATTGATCCTGCTGGGCATGGTGGGGCACTAGAGAATAGGAGAAACAGTCTTCCCCAGAAACAAGCACACCGACTGGTAATGTAATAGGTACTCATGAAAACATACATGAGTAACATTACACAAGCCAGGTGTGGTGACACACACCTTTAATCTCAGCACTTGGAAGGCAGAGGTAGGTATGTACATCTCTGTGAGTTGGAAGCCAGCCTGGTCTACAGGACAGAGCTACATAATCAAGTGAGCCCAAAATCCTTAAAAGAGACAAAAAAAAAAAAAAAAAAAAAAAAAAAAAAAAAGCCAGACAATCGAGGGAGGCAGAGGGAGGCGGATCTACGAGTGTGAAGTCAGCCTGCTCTACAGTATGGGTTCTAGGACAGCCAAGGGATACAAAGAGAAACCATGTCTCAAATAACAAACAAACAAACAACAAAAAGTCCTTAACAAAAGATTGATCCTTTTTAACAATCTTCTAAGTAGAACAGGCAGGTAGTTATGTTATACCACTAAGGAAAAAGATCCTGAATCCTGGTAGACACACCCTGCTCTACCAACTCCATCACTGTGGTCTCTAAATAAGCAGAGATAGAAGAATCAAAACCTTCCCGTGGAGAATGAGGACACTATAGCGAGAAAAAGTATCCCATAGCGAAGTTGTTACATTTTGTCAGAAGGCAACAGGAACAGAAAGTTAGTTCCGGGACTCGATGGAAGACTGGGTTTTTTAACAGACACAACTTTTTTTCTAGGGTAGGTGGGTTGAGAGCAACTCCTGTTCTCTGAGGGGATGTCATGTGTTTCTTTCAACACTTGCTATTCCCTTGACAGCTTCCTTTCAAGCTTCCATGAAGGGGTAAAATTGGCAGGTGGGTAGCGCTTTTTTTTTCCCCTCGAGAAAAGGTCTGACTTTACAGTCCAGCTCGCTATGTAGAACTGGCTGACCTAGAGAGCCCTGTGATATGTCTGCCTCTGCCTCAGGAGAGCTAGGATTAAAGGTGTGTCCCACCGCACCTGGCTAAAACCACTCAGGAGCCACCGCACACAAAACCTATCTGGTGCTCTATAGATATTTTCTGACCTTCATTTCAACTTTTTTTTTTTTTTTTTTTTTTTTTTACATTTTCTTTCTCACATTTTCTAATTGGATCTGGTTCTCCATTCTCAACATCTACTAATTAGATGTGCTGGATACACAAATTGCATAAATTTCCCGAGACTCGATCGTTTATAAAATGGTGTAAAAATAGTCATCTTTAATGTTCTTTGCAGCTCTTATAGAACGAGTCAAGGTTTCAATATACGGAATTACCAGTCTTTGAAGGGAGAACAGCAAATAGAGAGGGAACCCTTATCTAGACTCTAAGGAGAAGCAAAGGCGTTGATATGCCAAAACGTGAAGTGCAGGAGAGGAAAAAAAAAAAAAAAAAAAAAAAAAAAAAACAACAACAACAAAAAAAATTGAATGACAGATGATAGAAAGGGTTAACATAAACTGTTAACTGGCTCACCTGCCAGAGCTCAGGCAAGGTTAGAGTCTAAATGCCGGCCATGGGGAAGCTAATCGCAGGGGCTCCGCGTACTTCCTAACTCTTGAGATTGTCCTACGAGACGAAAAAGGTGCTATATATATTTAAAAAAAAGAAAAAAAAAAGACAGAAAAAGAAGGAAAGACGTCTCACAAGCGACAGGTGTCCCGGCAGGCGTTCCCGCTCTGCCGCCGCGGGCTGGCCTCGCTCTCGAGCGGCGAGCGGACCCCGGGACAGGGGACCGTCCGGCGGGTGGCACGACCTCCCCAGACCGCAGGGAGGCTCCGGCCGGCCAGGGCCAGCAGCCGATCGCTACGGGTCCACAAGCCCGGCCTGCTTCGGGCCCAGACGTCACTTCCTATTTTTTTTTTTTTTTTTTCCCTTCTGGAAAAAGCCGAGAGCTTTCAGCCCAGGCGAGACGACGTGCAGGGATTTGTCCTGGTTCCCCTCGCGCTCCGAGCGCAGCCCATGCTCTCTGGGAGCTAAGGGTCACTTCGGTTCCGGATCGCCAGAGAAAGGCCGGGCCCCTCCCCGGCTGCTCCACCCACCGGGGCTCGCTCCCGGAGCTCTCGCTTGCGCGCCGCGTCTGCACATGCGCCGCTACGTCATCTGCCCGCGACGCGCCCCGGCGCCTCCGCGTTTCCGGCTCCTGGATGTCCGCGTGAGTTTGAGCGAGTGCTTCTGAGACGCCTGCTGTAGGGAGCTGGCCAAGCTTGGGGAGTCGCGCTGGGGATCGGGGTGCCTCGGCGGACCTCGGGGCCCCGCAGAGGTAGGCGATGGTGGCTCCCGGGGGCGGCGCAGGCTCTGCTCAGGCCTCACTGTGATCTCTGACACGCTGGACATGCTGCTCGGGCGGCTTCCCAGGCTCCGCAGGAGATCACTGACCTAAACTGCCTAAACTGAAGGGTCCTTGCGATGGTTTAGTTTCGACCCAGGCTTTGCTCCTCTGTAGTCGCCCTCCTGGCCAGCGATGTCAGTCCCTAGAGTAACCTGCTCTTCTCCAACGCCGAGGACAGATTTCTGTCCTGGTGATTTGAGAATGGCCGGGTATTCCGCTCCCTCTGCGTTTACTCCTTTCGTGCCCATCGTGTCATGTTGCGCTCACAGACACTGATGAAATGGAATACTCTTTCCAGGTAGAATTAAACACCTTCCTCTTCCACGTTCCTCTGCACGCTAATTACAGAGTTTATTCGCTCACACCTTGTGTTGTAGCAATGCCTGTTATTCAGTGAGCACCAGTTTCTTGGGCTCTGACTTTGGTCCAGTCAGTTTTCTTCCATTCGTTTTCATAGCATCTCGCTAATTGCACTGTCTTCCCTCACACGTCCTACCAATGCCTTTCTTCGTTTTTGTAACCTAGCAAGTCATTTTTCCCTTCTTTCCTCAAAATGGTTTTATTTCTTGAAAAATAGACTTAGGAGGTACTCTCGTTCTTGGATCTATTCTAGTGCCTGTTTTGTGTATCTAGTACCTGTTCTTGTGTATCTAGTGCGCTAAGAATTTTTTTTTTTTTTTTAAACAGATAAATGTAGTGTCGTACATACAGTGATTTGGCTTGGAATGGTATAAAAGCCCTTGACCGCAAAGAATTCTACTCTCTTTCACAAACAACAACAAAAATTTGTTTATGATTATTGGGGAAGCCTCCTGTAGAAATTGTGAATTTTTCTTGTTATGTCATTAATTATTGAGTATCCCCTGTTTTGCCTGTTGGTTGGCCAAGCCTAAAACATTTACCATCTGGCCCTTGATGGAAAGTATTTTTGAACACCTTCTGTATAGCATTGTTCTTACTAGAAACCACTATTGCTTTTGATTTTATATTTTCCAATAGGAATTTGCATGATGCTCCCCCAAAGATCATTGTTTGAGCACTTTTTCCAAGCAAATACTTCCAATATATTGTTCTATTTAAGTGGGAAAAGAGGTCATTACAATGCAGTGTGATTATGTGGTCTTGTGAGACAGAGATAAATAGGATCCTAGGAGAGAGCACCCAATCTCAGAAGGCAGAGAGGGATTTCTGAAGGACAGTCTGATTTCCTGCAGTGGCCTTAAACAGATAGAGAAAGGACCTTCCTGGCAGAGAGCACACATTGAAGCAAGAATGAATAAGAGTCTAGTGAACTGTAAACAGTTGGTAGCAGCAAGAGGTGAAGCATAAAGGTCCAGAGCAAAGGAAACCTTACATGCCAAGGATCTAGGGCTTCATTTTCTGGGCAGTGTTCAGTTTTGTAGCTATACTAGTAACTATCTGGAAGATGGATGTGGGAGTCCAGGAGACTTTTGAATGGTGTTGCTTTTATTTCCATTGTCAAAAAGATGCAAGTTAGCACAATTGAATTAGGGTTAAGTGAATTTGAGGTTTAGAACTATTTAGGAGATTAAGGGCTGGGGAGATGTCATAGTGGATATAATGGGGTCAGATCCCCAGCACCCAGGTAAAAAGGAGAACTGCCCAGTGCTGGGTAGCAGAGACAGGAAGATCCCCAGGCTTGCTAGTCAGCTAGCTTGCTAGCTAGGCAGTATTGTCATTTGGTGAGTTTTATGTTCAATGAGAGAAATCATCCTATTTCAGAAATAAGTTGCAGCACCATAGAGAGAGACTCTGGTTTTACACACACACACACACTTGAACACAAAGAAATCTTTGAGAGTTGAAATCTTGATTGCCAGTGGCTGTATCAGATAGTTGATGGTTCTTTGAGTTTTAGGATTGAGAATGAAGCTAAGTCTAGATTCCGAATAGGCCCAATCATTGAAGGTATAGATCATGTCTGTTTATTGTCCTTGAATTCCCAGTGCTTTGAATACTATCTTGCACATTGGAGGTATTGACTGAATAGAAAAGTTTCTCTCTTGAATCTTGGTTTGCTTTGCTTCAGTCAGAACATGTCATCATATTTGTGTTGGTGTTACTGATGTCATCTTGCAGGCCTTTCAGAATGGATGGAGAGTAGTATCCCTGGAACCATTCGTCCAATAAACTTGACTGTTTCAACTGAATGCTTCTTGGAAGATGTTTGATTTCATTGCATATTAAGAGCTTTAATTCATTTTTTAAATCTTACTCTGCCATTTTGTTTGCTCTATTTTGGTTTTCTGTCCTACCTATTGACATTTAATTTTATGTGTTATGTCAGAACATTATCTCTTATTTCATCATAAGTTCTACACTAAAATAATAGCTTTGTTGTCCTTTCTTCTTGGCATCTTTTTCTTTAGGAAGTCAAGTCTGTAGCGATAACTTTATATTACTAGTTCTATATTATTTCCTTTGTGAAGAAAACAAGTATTCTAGGCCTGAATGCTCTTCTGGTTGGACTATTGGGAGGTTGAGTGATATTTATTCTCAGGTGTTGCAGACTGGTCTTGGAGGTTTGAGAACATATACAGCCAGTATGCCAGTATGTACAGATAGTGCAGTGTGGTTCCCCGATCTGTATTCTTCCAGTGTTTCTTCTAGGGTTCCAATAAAATGGTTTATTGATCATTGATCTATGAAGTCCCACATAGCCTTTTGAAAGAAAATGGAATGAAAACCATACTTGTATGTGAGAGTTTATAAATAATGTGTGCTTTAAGGTATTTTTTTTTTTTTTTTAGACATAAGCCACAGTCAGTGAAGTTCCCTGACATCAGTTCCACATTGTTGACCCTGGGTCAGCAGTGCAACTATATGAAATCATGGCTGGTTACAAACCTGTATCGATTCAGACATATCCTGTACTTGGTGAAAAAATCACCCAAGATACTCTGTACTGGAACAATTATAAGGTAAAGTACAAGAGGAAATGAGGGAAGGGGAAATTTGGACATTTCTTTATCCATTTATGTTAATTCTCCAGCTCATGCTAGCAGAACTGTTAGCTAAAAGCAATAGCTCAGGTAGATAATTTGTTACCTATTTTTCCTTAGAGCTTCATGTAAAAGTCCATACCACCTAATTATTTTAACCATGCAGATGTTTAACGCAGAACATGTGTGCAATGGCAAATGAAACTGTAAAACTTGAATCTTTATATCAGAAAGACTTTTGCTTTTTCTTACTCTGAAATTAGCTTCTCTGTACCTTCTAGTAAGGCTTGCAATTTTTTATTTTTTTTATTTTTAAATTGAGAACCTAGAAAACTGGAAAATGTTTGGAATTAGGAGGTTTGTGAAAAATGAAACATAATCAGATAAGAACATAAAGAGACTGAGCCTTGCTCACAAACTAAAACAGATGTTGCTCAGTTGGTAGAGTGCTTGCCTGGCATGCGTGAAGCCCTGGGCTCAATCTTTAGCCTTGCACAAACCTACTTGGTGGCACATGCCTGTGATCTCAGCCCTTGAGAGGGGGAGGCCGGAAGATAAGTTCAGAGTCATCCTTCGTTTCTCAGGGAGGCTGAGCTACACAAAATCAAGAACACTTGCTTCTCTTAAATAGGACCTAGATTTAGTTCCCAGCACATTGGGCAGCTTACAGTTGCCTGTAACTCCAGTTCCAGGGGATCTAGTATCTTTCTATCCTCAGCAGGCAGTTCACACATGTGCATGTTTAGACAAGCAGATACACACATACACAAGAGTACAAATAAATAAGATAAAAAAAAAAAAAAAAAACACAGCATAAAACCAAATAAGGTCACAGTTTGTTTGGGGTTTTTCGAGATAGGGTTTCTCTGTATTGCTTGAAGCCTGTAGACAAGCTGATATCAAACTCACAGAGATCCATCCTCCTTCCTCTGCCTCCTGAGTGCTGGGATTAAAGGCAAGATCACAGTTTAGATACTGTTTTTGTTTGTTTGTTTGTTTGTTTTGTTATATTGACATAAGTAGAAAAGAAAATTGAGGAAGGGAATTGACAATAACTGTTAAGATTTTATAAAAACATCATTTTTGCTTTGTACTCATAGCTTGAAGCCTAGCATGCTTTCAAACATTTACTCAGACATGTAGGTTTTTGTTAACATGCAGTGTGGTATTGGAATTCTTGAAAAATATGTCCATTAGACTTGGATTGGTTGATGGTGTTTCTTTATAAAAATGGATGGTAAATTTATTGCTTATATGCAAAGATTTCTAAAATGGGTTATGGGTGTAAAAAAAGATGTGCATCTGTTTACATGGTCTGGTCATCTCTTTATTAACTCAGAATCATAGTTGACTGATATAGGCTGAGCTCTTCTTTTTTTGGTGGGCATCAGAGTAAAGTCAGCCACTGAGACAATGGGATGTGACTGTCCAGCTGTGCTTATTTTCTGTAGTGTCAAAGGAGTGGCCTGGAGGATGCTTTACCCTTTCCTATGTCTTTCCTCTTCCTCTTTTCTTCGTATCTCTCTGTAAATACAACCCACTAACTGGTCCTAGGATCAGAAGGAAATGATCCATAGGAAATAGCATAATGCTTGAGTCTGGCTCCCCTTTTTAACTCTGCCAATACTCTCTTGTTTTTCATTAAGACTCCTGTTCAGATTAAGGAATTTGGTGCAGTGTCCAAAGTAGACTTTTCTCCTCAGCCTCCGTATAACTACGCAGTCACAGCTTCTTCAAGAGTAAGTACAGTAGTAATCATCTTTGTTCTTGTTAGAGGGTTTGCTGCTGAGCTTGGGCCATCTAGTGAAATACTGCCTTTTATCTTACAGATCCACATTTATGGCCGGTACTCTCAAGAACCTATAAAAACCTTTTCCCGTTTTAAGGACACAGCATACTGTGCTACTTTTCGACAGGATGGTCAACTGCTTGTCGCTGGCAGTGAAGATGGTGTGGTTCAACTTTTTGATATAAGTGGGAGGGCTCCCCTCAGGCAGTTTGAAGGCCATACAAAGTAAGAGCCAGCTTGATGTGGTTTTTAATTTGTTGCTTTTCTGTTGAGAGCTCTGCCTCCATGCTTTTAATAACACATGTTGGTTGTGTGTAGAGTGTACCTGTATGTACTTTATCCTGTTGTTCTCAGACAAAGAACTTAACAATCCAGTTCCTAGAGCTTGTGACTGCTCTGAAGTTGTGTGTGTTGTTTTTAGACAGTGTCTTCTTATCTGGGAGGTTCAGTGGGCTATGTGACAGGTTGAAGATGTGAACCACTAGTCTAACGGCAGCCTTACATCTCCGGTGATACTGTAGGTCCAGCTGGCTGGACCCTCTCACACTGAAATCATGCTACCTTTCTTTTTAATAAATTCGATTTTCTGAGTTTTGTTTCAGGAGACCTAAAGTCATTGCTGAAATCTGCTATTGATTTAAATATTAAAGTGTTTCTTTTTTCTTTTTCTTTTTTATTGCAAATTGTCAGGATGTTTGTATCCATCACTGAAACACTCAAAGCAGAATTTCTTTTAAGGGGATTCTGCTCTGTGGCAAGTCTTTCTTGTCTTTTGAAAGAACTCTTTGTTACGTTTTTTAAAAAGTATACCTTTGCAGAGCTGGAGTGGTGGCTCAGTGGCTAAGAGCACTTGCTGCTGTCATAGGGGTTCAGTTCCCAGCACCCACATGGTGACTCACGACTGTCTATAAGAACTGTCCCAGGACATCTGAAGGCACCAGGCATACATGTAGTGCACAGACACAGATACAGATAAAATAAGTAAATACATAAACACTTAAAAATTACCTTTGTCCCAAAATTTAGAACTTAACTTTCACTAATTATTGCATCTGTTACTTAATATTCTTGTTGACCTAATAGTAACAAAGTATTACACTTTGGTTACATAGTATTACATTTACATACAAACACCTATTTTAAAGGTGTTCCTTTTTCTCTTATTTTTTCTTACATAAATCTTTTCTATTTTCTGAAGTTGAGAATTTGTTCACTTATTGTGTGTGTTCGGATGTGTGCATTGGTGCCATGCATGTGGAGGTCAGCGGAGAACATCCAGGAATTGGCTCTCTCCTTTCATTGTGGAGGTCCCAGATGGAACTCCGGCCATCATACTTGGCAGCAAGCACCTTTACCCAGTGAGCCATCTCGCTGGCCTGAGCCTGAGGGGGCTTATTGTTTGTTTGTTTGTTTGTTTTTTGAATTTAGGAAGGAACGTTCTATGTTAGAGGATGCAGGCGGTAGATTTTTTTCCCCATGTTTGTAATCTGCTGACTTTTGATCTTTCAGAGCAGTTCATACAGTAGATTTTACAGCTGACAAGTATCATGTGGTCTCCGGAGCAGATGATTATACAGTTAAATTATGGGATATCCCAAACTCCAAAGAAATTCTGACATTCAAAGATCATTCTGATTATGTGAGGTGTGGCTGTGCCAGCAAGCTCAACCCCGACCTCTTTGTAACAGGTTGGTGAGCTCTCTCCACTTTATTGCTATGGATTCATCCCTAGAGATGGGGGAGGTGGTCATTGGTGAAGCACTTGCCTAGTTGGTTTGAGACCCTGGGTTCAATTCTCAGTACCATAAAGTAAGTGTGTGTGTGTGTGTGTGTGTATGTGTGGTTTTGATTAAAGTCGATTATTTTTTGTTTTCTTCTCTTGATAGTGGGTTTTGTTTCTTCTAAATGTATTTGGGAATATATATATATATATATATATATATATATATATATATATATATATTCAGCTGCTTGAGAGTATCATAGATATCAGGTTGCAGTGGACTCATGGTACCCTGATTGTCACAGAACCCCAGCAGCCATAGCGCTGTAGTGGAGCTCTGTTTATGTGGGTGCCTATACAGATTCTCCTGCTCCGGCGATGACATGGTGACAGGAGTCTGAAGGTCAAGAGTCAGTTAGATTCTATGTGCATTACATAGTGCTTCAGGAACCATAGTAGCAGAAGGCTGGGAGTACTGATTTTATGGTGTGTGTGTGTGTGTGTGTGTGTGCGTGTGTTCAAAAAATCTCATGTAATGTTTTTCTCCTTTTAATGTGCGGATAGACAAACTTCTTATCGTTTTAAAGAGCAAAATTCACACTATATACTGACATTGGCATTTCAGGGTCCTATGATCACACTGTGAAGATGTTTGATGCCCGGACAAATAAGAATGTTCTCTGTGTGGAGCACGGGCAGCCTGTGGAGAGTGTCCTGCTCTTCCCCTCTGGAGGTCTCCTGGTGTCTTCAGGTATTGCTTTCTGAAAGAGCTTTCAACACAATGGTTGGTCTCAGAAAGATTAGATTTTCCTTTATGAGATGCCATTTGTAGATTGTTGGTGTTTGCTTGAATTTCATAGCTGAGTATTTGTTCAGTTAGTAAGTGGGGTGGGTCAGTAGTTGTCATTCACTGTGTCTGACCCATGCTGGCACTGTGCTGCTGTTTGTATGTCCTCTCTAATGCTAGACAGTTCTCCCCGGTAGTTAGCTTTCTGTTTTACAATTAAGGAAACAATGAAAGCATCGGCTATTTTGTCCAAGGCAACATGGTGAGTGGCAGGTCTAAAGTGCCGACCTCAAGAACCTAGTAGATTATGTACGCGTCCCCTCTGACCCCAGAAGCCTACTCTACACCCTTCTGCTATTCCAGCTAAGACAACTTTCAGGAGCCACCTGTCCTCTACCGTGTGGGCCCCGGGGATCAAACTCAGGTCTTCAGGCTTGGTGGGAAGTGTCTTTACCTACTGAGCTGTCTTGCTGGCTCAGCATTTCTCTCAGCAAATTTATTATTATACCTTACCTTAAATATTTTTCAACTCTCTATTTATTTTGCTCTACTTAAAATAAGCAATAACTTAGTCATGTTAACATTTCTGTGGGTAGGGACTCTCAGGGTAGGTGGGGCCAGTGCGTGAGGTCTGCTCTGGAGGCTTCCCTTAGCTCCCGTGACGAGTGTTTCTCAGGTCTCTAGATGCTGAGCACAAGCGAATGACTATCCCACGAGCGGTTGTTTCTTCCCGCAGGGGGTCGTTATGTTAAAGTCTGGGACATGCTGAAAGGAGGGCAGTTGCTCGTGTCTTTGAAAAATCATCATAAGACTGTGACGTGCTTGTGTCTGAGCAGCTCTGGACAGAGGTTACTCTCCGGCTCACTGGATAGGTAGTATTCGAGTTTTCTTGTGCATTGTTATTAGCATTTACTGCTTGAGAAATTGAGTTATTTTAGCGGTATTTGTGATAAGAAAACATGTTCTAATGGTTTTTATAGAGGATAAATGATTGATTTGAAAATAATTTGACCTTTAATTTTCATATAACTACTTATATTTCCCCAGAAATAATTTGTTTATTGCTTTAGCTTATCTACTTGAACTCTGATCTTTTGGGAAATACTCTTTTTTCCTATAGTTTCCTTTAAAGCCATTTTATATATACATACATGTTTTGAAAATTTTATTCTGAGGATATATGTTATTCTAGGTTAAATTCTTTAAAATATAAAACTTCAGCCGAGAGTAGTGGCCCATGCCTTTACTCCTAGCATCTGGGAGGCAAAGGCATGTGGATCTCTAAATTCAAGGTCAGCTTTGTCTATATAGAGTTCCAGGACAGCTAGGGCTACAGAGAGACCCTACCTCAAAAACAAAACAAACAAGATTTCAAACTTAGTGTGAATATTTCTGTGCATTAATGTGGTGTGAGTCCCATGACTTTAGTAGATTTTTAAAGCACTAAAGGCATAGTTCACTTGCTACAGCACATACCCAGCATCTGTAAGGCCACTGATTCAGTCCCTGGGGCTGAAGTTATTTAATTAGTCAATTTAAGTATTCTACTTTTGATGTTCTAAAACTGTTGTGGAACAAACTCACAATGCAGGCTACATATATAATTTTAAATGCTTTGGTAGCCACATTTAAAAAGGCTAAAAAAGCTAGGTGTGATTAATCTCAGCAGTTGGGAGATAGAGGCAGGTGGGTCTCTCTGAGTTCGAGGCCAGCCTGGTCTACAAAGAGAGTTCCAGGACACCCATGGCTATTACACAGAGAAACCGTGTCTCAGAAACAAACAAACAAACAAACAAAAATAACCAAAAAACAAAACAAAACATATTTTATGTAGTTCATTAACATAAAAGTAAAATTTATAATATATGAACTGTCATTTCAACATGTAATCAGTTTACTTAGAAAGGTGCTAGAAATGAATTTTGTCTCTGAAATAGACACTATAATACTTTATAAACATTTCAGTGGTTTTTTAAATTTACCTCCTTTTCTGTAGCCACATGTCAAGGGTTCAGTAGCCACACATGGCTTGTACTGACAGGCTGTAGAACTTCCTTTTTTACTTTGGTGTTGGTCATTCTATCTCCAGGTTGTTTTTTTCTGCTGTTAGGAAAAGGTGTGCAGTGTTATTGCTGTGTTGGGGATGGAGGCCAGAGATGCTGCTACTGTCCCCAACAGAGGGCCTTGCTGGGCTTGTGGCTTACTGTGCATAGTCATTGGTCCTTTGTTTTATCTTCTGATGACCTTGGTTTATGGTCTGTCTTTTGGTTTCTTTTATAAATTCCTTGTCAGTCTTTATTCCAAGTTTTCAAGGAACTCAGCGGTGAAGTACTTTGTAATTAATATTTCATCAGTGTTTTTCTGTACTGTGCAAATTTTACCTTATTTATTTATCCATCCATTCATTCATTTATTTTTTTCAAGGCAGGGTTTCTCTTTGTAGCCCCTGGTCTTGGAACTAGCTGTGTAGATCAGCCTGGCCTCTAATTCACAGAGATCTGACTGCCTCTACCTCCCAAATGCTGGGAGACTGTGTAAATTTTTATATCCATGTAGTTTGTTAAAAACAGAAACTTGTTGTTTCCACTCATTTCTGAGGTGACTTGACAGCTTTCTTTCTCACCAGGAAAGTCAAGGTCTACAGCACGACTTCTTACAAAGTGGTCCACAGCTTTGACTATGCAACGTCCATCTTGAGTCTGGCACTTTCTGTACGTACTTTCAGCTCTTCTCAAGTTGTTAGATACCATGCCTATGCCCTACAAGTAAAGTAGAATCTTTGGGGTTTATCTTTGGATTTAAATAAGGCACATTAGCGTTTGAGTCAAAAAAGAAAAGACATCATGCAACAGAGTTCAAGTGGAGAGGTTTTTATTAGGGGAAAAGGGTCATAAGGAGGAGGAAGGGAAGGAGAGACCAGCCTCCAGTAACAGGAACAGTGGGAGAGATGGGAGAGAGAGAGAAAGGAGCAAAGAGAGAGAGATGGGAAGTGGGCAGGGCCCTTTTAAAAGGGAACACAGTGATTAAATAGGCACAGATAGTGCTCTTAGTTACAGTAGCGGAGGACGAGTCCTGTAGAACCCCAAGGGCAGGCCAGTACAAATGTCTAACTATTAACAAAGACAGTTGCTACGATGTGACGTTTCCTGTTAACTGCATGAAGTCCCACTTGGTAGCACTGACCACTCTCATGGTAACTGGACTAGGACATTGTTAACGCTCCCTTCAACAAGCCCAAGGGTGTTACAAAGCTCGAGAATGGCAGGTTGACCCCAGAAAAGGTGGAGAGGGCAGGAGCAGCTGAGTGAGCATAGAAAATGGTTTTGAAACTTGTCCAGGTGCCATTACCATCTTATTAGCATGATCAGCCAATGTATTCATTCTCATCACATGCACTTGCTGTACGAGGATAAGAAGGTCTGTCTTCATAGTGGTACCCTGGAGGAAAAGTGATCCTTGTCTGCATTGACTGGAACTGTGGGCAGTAAGATAGGTAGCAGACATGATGACCTTTCAAGTCAAAGGTACTAGAAGATGTTGGTTAAAAATAGATTGATTTTTCTGATTACCAATTAGCATGAAGATGAGACGATAGTTGTAGGAATGACCAACGGAATACTGAGCGTTAAACACCGGAAATCTGAAGCAAAGAAGGAATCTCTCTCAAGAAAAAGGAGGCCTGCATACCGGACTTTTATTAAAGGAAAAATTTACACGAAGCAACGGGTGATTATATGTTTCTTATCCTTTTTAAAGTATGACATTTCTTGGGAGGGTCATGTCTACCCATTCCTGGAATTTACTGCAAAGTGTGATTCACATATAGGTACATTATTTTCTTCTCGATCCATCCAAGTTGGTTCAGGACTGCTGTACCCCGAATCATGAAATAATACAGTGCTTTATCATATTCAAAATAGTGTCTGTCACCCACCTTCTGATTTGGTCCTCTGAACAGCATGTACCTGTAATGTCTCCTTGTGTTGGAGAGGACTGAGAGGTAAGGTTCTGATGACCCAGGAGCTCATCAGAGGTGTGACCATTACATCATAGTCTCTGGTTTGTTTTTACTTCTCTTTATATGCAGTCACACTGCCTGCCCTTTTTTTTTTTTTTTAATTTTGTTAGCATATATAAGCTACAAATCATAAGAGCACCTTAACATGGCAAAATGTATCACTTGGATTATGAGCACAGGAGAATTATATGTAAGCTTCCTGGACTTTAAAATGCACCACTTTATTGTGAAAGCATCTATCTGTCATTTATTTTTACTTTATTGATTATTTATGGATTTCACATCATGCATTTTGATCCCACTTATCTCCCCGTCCCCTTGAATTGCTCTCTGCCCTTGCAACCCCCAACACAAAACCACATTTAAAAGAAAAACCAAACCAAACAAAGAAAAATCAGAAAAGAATCCTGCCATGGAAGCTGGAGTCTGCCATGGAAGCTGGAGTGTGGCCAGTTGAGACATGCAGTTTACCCTTTAGTCTGTTCATGTTTACTTGTAAGTGTTCATTGCCATAAGTCATCGGTCTGCCTTGAGCCTCTGGCTTCTGCTACAGTGTCGTTAATGGGCTCTCACTGGGGCTCCTCCTGGATACCCTGTTGTTGTCCTGTGTCATAGAGACCCTGCAGTTTTGGAGCTGTAGGTTCATCTCTTTCATAGGTTCTAACCGTTCATAGATTTGCTGGGTTTTTGGGGTGGGCCTGGTTCTGGTCCTGGGTAGTAGCTGGGTTGGTCACTCCACTAGCTTTCCCTCATCTTCACAACCCGGATGAGCTCTTTGGTGCTGCCTTGGTTAGCTCGGCCAATGCAGCCTACAGCAAGGAGCTGTGGCAGTTCTGCTTTTGGGCCCTCACGTCCGGGTCCCCCTTAGCCATATCACCAGGGCCAGCTCTACTGGAAAACATTTATTTTTAATGGAACCATATAGACACCAATTTTCTTCCTCTATAAATTTGCTTTTTCATTCAGGATGATATCATGATCAATAGGCCAGCAAAGAAACACCTAGAATGGTATGACAGGGACCTGAAAAGTTTTCGGATCTCAAAGGCACTTGACCGAGTCCTTGAGGTGAGTGAGAAACATTTTCTTTTCACTTACTATTTTTTAATTTTGTCTGTGTGTGTGTGCGTGTGGGAAGGCTCAATGTTGGGAGTTTGCGTCAATTGTTTTCCGTCTTCTTGAGATCACATCTGTCTTAGTTTGCTTTTTGTTGCTGTGTAAAGACCATGACCAAAGCACCTTGGGGAGGAGAGGTGTTTCAGCTTACAGTTTATAACCCTGTGAAGTTGGAAGTCGGGACAGGATCCCAAGGCAGAAACCTGGAAGCAGGGACTGAAGTAGAAACCATGGAGAAGCACTGCTTACTGGCTTGCTCCCCCTGGCTTGCTCGGCCTGTTTTTCTTGTACAACCCAGACCACCTGCCAGGAGTGGCCCCACCACAGTGAGCTGAGCAACCACGCCAAGAACGTACCGCGTAGACTTGAAAAATGGAGGCGTTCTTCAACTGATATTTCCTCTTCATGGGTGACCCTGGCTTGTGTCAGGTGATAGCGTGTCTAAGACAGGGAGCTCACCAGGTTGTCAGTGAGCCCCCAGGCTCCTCTTGTTTTCGCCTCCCAGCATTGAGGGTATAGGTGTATGCTGCCTCTAATTCTAGTACTTGGGCACCTGAGGCAGGCAGATCACATCTGGGGTCAAGCTGGGCTATATAATCAAGGTCAAGGCCTGCTAAGGCTTGTAAAGTGAAACCCTGTCAGAAAAAAGTGAAGGGGCGCGGGGAACCATCTTGATGATGATTTATCATTTACTGTGCCTTAGGATTGTGGAGATAAGCTTGGTAGTTTAGTGCAGGGTAGTGATCTTTTTCTTGTCCATCTTTTTGGCTGTACTGACTCTGAACATTTTTCTAGCCTAACTGTGTAATAAAGACGCCCGAGGTTACAGTTTCCATCATAAAGGAACTGAATCGGAGAGGAGTCCTTGCCAATGCTCTTGCAGGTCGGGATGAGAAGGAGATTACCCGGGTTCTGAACTTTTTGATAAGGTATGCTTGACGTGGCTTTCGTGGCTTAAGTCCTCTGTTATTCCTCAGTGAGAGACACATACTTTTAGTTTGCTCTTCACAGAGAACTGGTGTAACGATGTTTGTTTTGGGGATGTTTTTCCTTTTTGTTTTTTAATTATTAATTAAATTTTAAAATTTATTTTGCGCTCCCAACTGCTGTTCCTCCTCCTCCCTTTCCTCCCATGCCGTCCCTCCTTGCCTCCCCTCTGTCCCCCGCTTCGCTTCGTTCCTCCTCTGTCTCCATTCAGAAAGGAGCAGGTCTCCCATGGGCATCAGCAAAGCAGGGCACATCAAGTTGAGGCAGGACCCAACTCCTCCCGCTGCGTCAAGGCTGGGCGAGGCAACTCAGCATGGGGAATAGGTTCCCAAACACCAGCTTAAGTGCCAGGGGCAGACAGACCTTGCAAGATTCATTAAACAGAAGTTTTTCTTTGTAGGAATCTGTCTCAGCCGAGATTTGCCCCTGTTTTGATTAATGCTGCTGAAATAGTTATTGGTAAGTTGTTGTAAAACGTAAGCTTCCCAACCAACATGCTTGTGAAAGTTGAAGTCTTGGACTGGAGAGCTCCTCGGCAGAATGTGTCACCCATCCAGGCTCCTGCAGCATTGGAAAACAGTGAAAGAACCTGAAACAGAAAACCTAGAGGAGCAGGTGCAATTAAGATGAATTGATCTGACTAGGATAAGTACAGTTTGAGAAAGTTTTCCCCATAAACATCTATAATGGCAGTCTTTCCTTTTTTTAAGTTTAGTGTGTGTGTGTGTGTGTGTATTTCTCCATGCTCATGTGGTTTATATGAATGTGTGTGTGCACAGGCCCCATTGCTGGCATTATAAACAAGTGTTGTTATGCACAGCCATGTCTGCGTGCTTAATTGGAGAAGTAAAGCCGTTTGTGTTTGGAGTTAGAATTGAGAGTTGTGTGCTAATTCCCATAAGATCCTTCTTTCCCCTAATTGATCTCGGTTCTTCTTCATCCATTCATCTTAGAGATTTGCTGGTTTGTTGAATTGAAAACATCTGATTCTTTCCTAATTTTCTTTTTCTCATCCCTTCTCTTATTACTTACTGTCTCAATCTTCTGTGTGATTGTGACTTTCTTACCTGTGTATTGACTTTCCTTCAATGTCCTTCCTTACACTGGGTGAGTGGTCCTGCTTCAGTCTACTCCATCAGTTTTAAAGGTTGGTGGTTATTCCTCTTAGGGCTTGCTGTCACTTCCTGTTTCCCTTGATTTGCTGACGGGTCTGATGTCCTAATGATGAGCTCACCTGTGTGAGCTCTCTGTGTGGTGTTTTTGTTCATGCTAGGGTTCTTTTCTGCACGTGTGTGTAAGGTTTTGAGTGCCCCCGTATTTGGATGTCTGTATCTTTACCCGGATTTTGAAATTTTCTGCTCCGGTTTTGTTTGTTGCCTGGATTTTGTATCCTTTGCAACGAAGATTCTTGGGTTTGTTTGTTTGTTTGTTTGTTTGTCATTCGCCAGAGTCCTTGAAATCTGTGAGTGTATTTGCTTTGGTTGTTGATAGTGTGTATGGATGTGATAATTCCTCAGCCTAAGAGTTCCCACCTTCTCCTGCTTGACTTAATCCAGATGTTTCCCACTGTGATTTTGATTTATTGAATCGTTCATATCCAAGGTTCCCGTTTGTTTTTTTCTTAGAATCTCTCTGAGGAATCCTTGTTGGAGTCCTTGGTCTGACTTTTTACTTCCTTCATCGGTTTCATGGTTGCCCGTGTGTTTGTGAGGTATTTCAGCGCTAAGGGTGAGTGCAGGTCCAGCTGTTGGAGTTTAGCATCCTGTGGAGGAGTCGTGCTGCCCTGCTTTTCTTAAGTTCTCCATTGTGACTCTCACATCCCTTGGGGTGGATATCTCTGCTGAGTCTGTATGGAGACCTTTGCATGACATCTATGTCTGCCACACACAGGAAAAAAAGCAGTCCGCGGTCATGGCTGAAAACCAAACCCATATTTACATATAGCAAACCACCCGAGAACAGCTTACCCCAGTAAGAAGGGAAGAGTAGGGCCCGCCCGAGGGAGTGATAGGGTTGAAGGTAAAGATATAAATAGCAGCGGAGGCTAGTGGAAGGAAAGAGAAGTAAGATGGGAGAAGGAAGTATTGAGGATGAAAGTATGAGTAGCAATAGCGAAAGAGAACGGAGCAGAACAGGGATAGTACCGAACAATGGGGCGGGGCAGTGGGTCCCTTCCTGCTGAGGAGATGGAGGGTGGCTGTTGCTGGACTGCAACCTCAATAGTGTGGGTCATGTAGCATCTACCCTCAGGCTGCTCTCATGAGCCTGAGGTCCACCAGGCTGGATGCCGCTCTATATGAGAGGTACTCTTAACAGTTCCGGGGTGGGCACCCAGTAGTGGTTGCATTTCTCTTAAAAGTCTCTAGGGCTCAGAATGTAGAAAGCAGTCAGGTTCAGTGGGATGGGGCGGCGCTGGGGGCATCTGCACTCCCGCTGAGTGGTCCTGAGTGCTCTGGCCAGGCCGGTCTCTGCCACGCCCCCTCCTCCCTTGCATCCCATGCAATTGGTCTTTTTTCTTCCCTTTGCAGTTCTCAGCTACAGTAAACAGTAGAGTGCTTTTAGCCTTCTATCAGTTAATGTTTGTCACAGCCATTTCCCAAGTCCACATGGACTTTTGTGATGGCTACTCTATTCCAGTAGAGAGGCCTTTGGAGCTTGGAAGTAAGAAAATGCAGAGGCTTCTGTGTCCTGCGCCCCCCACCCCCAGACTTTAGTAATGATTCCTCACCGTGACAAGTGTGAGCAAACTGAATCATGTTTACTGTGTGAGTTTCAGCTCTTTTTCTAGAGGGCTGGGTTCTGTACCTGGAGCCAACCAAAGTGGTCCTTTTTCTCTTTTTGAAGCCACCATGAGGGGGATTCACCCTGTCTAATTTTGAGTGTTTATGTTATGGGCCTTGGTTTCTCTGACACATCTCAAGGCTTCTGGTTCTCACGTGGTCCTGCCTGTGACTTACTGTTGCACCTTCATCCCTTTCCATGTGCTACATCTCTTCCTGCATCCCTGTACCCGACACTTTGTTTCAGGTTTGCCACGTGGCAGCATCCTGGGTCTTCCCCCATCAAGCTCCATCTGTTTTTCTGAGGCTGGCTGTCTCATTGAACCTGAAGTGCATAGAGCTCAGCTAGTGGCCAGCAAGCCCTGGCTACCTGTGTCTGCCTTCCCTTCCCCAGGGCCGCATTACAGTTGACTGTAATGACACGTGGCCAGTTTTTCTTTTCTTTTTTATGGGTTCTGGAAATCAAATACAGATCTTAACTGCTTGTAAAGTAAGCATTCTACCCACAGCCATCTCCTCAGTCCCCAATCATCTAGTTTTTAAACATGAAACTAAGACCCCATACCATGTATTTTGTGTTTGTTATTTCTTTTCAAAATTTATTTAATCAGATGGATCGTTATACTTTCTGTAAATAACAAATTAGTTATTAAAAATACTGGTATTCAGTGTCTTTGTATTTTAGTGCCATACTGTTTCTAACTATTGATTTCACCTACAGAAAATGTATCTAGTTAATGTATTTTTCTGTCCCTTTGTAGATATATATCTGCCTGTGATTGGCCAGTCACCAGTAGTTGATAAAAAGTTTATAGTACTTCAAGGACTCGTAGAAAAAGAAATTGATTACCAAAGAGAACTCCTAGAAACCTTGGGAATGATGGACATGCTGTTTGCTACCATAAGGAATGACAGCACCTCTCTGTCGGAGCATGTGCCTGCTGAGCTCCCAGAGAAGAAGACAGAGTCACCGTGTCAGCCTGGTGACACAGACAAGAACTCCTAACCCTTAATTACTGAGAAGAAAGCATCTTCAAGACATTCATTAAGATAATCTACAGTTTTATGGAAGAGATGGGATTAATTATAATCGGGAAATAAGTACCTGTTTCAAGACATGGTTTTCCATGTATTAATTTCATTTATCTTGTGACGTCTTCCACTAGAAGATCTTAGTTGTCTCGGTCACATTGTCTGTCGACCTTGGATGAGTTGATACTGATTTTAACAGGTTGCTGTGGGGCCTCATGTGGCCACCTGGAGAGGGTTCCAAGTGGAGCCCTGCCAAGGGAACAGAACCTTGGGTTTTCTTTTGTTTTCTATTTGTAGCCTGGGAAGTACCAGAACAACCGCAAGGCAAAACTTCTTTCTCTGTACTCAATGCCCCTGAGAACTGTCGTCCCTTTTACTGGTGTCTTCAAAGTCCTGGTCACACATTCTCACCAGCTGCTTGTGGAACTGTCTTCCAAGTGTGGCAGGTCACTCACTGATTGTTACTCCTGGAAGCGTTGCGTATTAGGGTGCAGTGAGTTTTTTACCTGCGAACTGTGCTCTCCTCCGGTGTTTTCTTTAGTCTTGCCTGGCTCTGCTTCTTTGCAGGACAAAGTCCAGAGAGACCTGACTGAACCAGATCCCCTCCTCGAAGCCTGCGGCCTGCCTTCCATCCTCACCTGCCTCGGGCCTGTGAGAAGGTGGCAATGACCCGTTAGCCTGTGCGTGTGTTCGGAGCAGATCTTGTATGTGTGGCCCTCCTAAGACTTCTCTTTCCAGTTCTTTCTCTCTGTTCTTCATTGTGTGAGTCCAAACCTCAAACAGGAGCAGTTTGCTTTGAAAAATTGTTTTGAACGTTCATTGTAAACTATATTTTTTTATAAAGAGATTCTTTTTGTCTTCTTGACTTTCTGAGGTGTGTCAATTCCTGATGACAGTCAGTGGCTTGTGACCAGCATGCTGATCCATAGCCATTACTGCCCTCCCTCCCTTCAGTTACCCTCCTTAAGTTAGCAATGTGTCTGGTGACAGCATCCCGAGCTAAAGGAGTCCTTGGGGAAAGATTTTGTAATATGACAGTTTTGTGACTTTAGATTCCCTTAAAGCAGAAGAGTGGCTATATGTCTGGAATGTCCTGGTTATAGTTCCCTTTAGTGAGCTGAAGCAGTTCTTCGATATGATTCTGTGTCTTGTGAGAACCCTGGAGTTTGCTTTTTTTGAGTAGTTACAGCATTAGTCACAAATGAGAGCCTGTCCTTTAAGGTTGAGAAGGTTGATTTACTTAAATACAGCTATTGAAGTCAATCTTCCTTAGTTTGCAGAGTTTGCTCGAGCAGTGGTGATCCTAAAGCTGCAGCTGCTGTCCCCTGTGCAACTCTGGAGTATTTCCTGGCCATCATTTCATTTAATTCTTACAGCTACCCACATGCCAGTCATCCTCACTACCCAAGTGTCTGTCATCCTCACTACCCAACTACCCAAGTGTCAGTCATCCTCACTACCCAAGTGTTAGTCATCCTCACTACCCAACTACCCAAGTGTCTGTCATCCTCACTACCCAAACGCCAGTCATCCTCACAACCGAAGTGTCAGTCATCCTCACTACCCAAGTGTCAGTCATCCTCACTCCCTTTGACAAACTAAGAGTGCTGCAGCTCCTGTGTAAAATTTATAGTAATTCCAAACCCCTGAAAGGATTAGGAGACATTTCCCACAGTCCTCCATGCAATTCTATTAAGGAGTTTTTTTTTTTGTTTGTTTTGTTTTGTTTTTCTGAGTCAGGGTTTCTCTGTATAGTCCTGGAACTTATGTATACCAGGCTGGCCTGAAACTCACAGAGATCCATACCTCTGCTTCCTGCGTGCTGGGATTAAAGATGTGTGTCACCTCACCTAACTCAGGAGTTGTTTTTGTATTCACTGAAACTATTAACTTGCTAGATGAAGTGTTTTAACATAATTGACATATTTCGATATGTAATGTTGGCTTTAGGAGTCAAATGTTTAATGAATTCTTAGATTTGTGCTTCTTAGTTGGAAAGTATTTGATATTTTACCATGGATGAAAAAAATAATGAAATGTTGCTGGAACTTATTTATGTTTAATTTATTATGTTCACTCAGACTTAAACATATGTGAAGATCTGCTTGTTTCTAGTCAAATTTCTCAAATGCCTGTGCTGTTAAATTTCTTAAGGAATTGATATCAAATGGGATGGTTAGGAACTCTACTGATTGACCCGAAAGGAATTCTACCAAACATTAATTAAAGACTCCCCTGAATGTGATTGGAGTCGTCCTCTCAGTGAGATACTTCCAAGTCAAAACCTTAAGAAAAGTTTGACCATGTCTAACCATGTCTGACCAGGAATAGTTTTACCTTTGCACAAGTATCCCCGAGAAACTGAAAACCATTTGCTGGCAGAGGATGCCATTTGTTCCTTTGGCCATGGCTGCCTGGGCCAGGGGTGGTAAACCTGACTCAGGCTATGTCTGCAAGTCCAGATTTACAATGAAATTGTTCTAGGTCAGAAAAATCTGGTTCTCAACCTGTGGGTTGCATATCCTTTGGCAAACCCATCTCCAAAAATATTTATATTACGATACAGAACAGTAGCAAAATTACAGTGTGGATTAGTAATGAAATAATTTTATGATTGGAGTCACAACATGAGGAACTATAGTAAAGGGTTGCAATACTGCTCTACGGAGATATGGGAGGCTGGGAATCCTATGTTGGGGTCTTCAGTAGAGAAAGCAGTTTCCAGAATGCGTCTTATATGAGGAGAAAATCAAGCCAACGACAGTCCTACCTCACCAGACAGAAACCCTGTCTTCCTTCCTGCTTTCCCTCCCCATTATCTTGTCTGTACTTCTTCCTCCTCCATGAAGTTCTTTTGGAACTCTCAATAAATATATTTTTCTTACTTACTGGCTGCGAGTGGAGATTAAAAATGAATGATGGAAGACTTCTTGGTTTGAGACATTGAGATCCAGCAGTTATCGAAATGAACAAAACAGACAATGGTCCATTTTAGCTAGCATCGTGGTTGAGGGAAAAGTTTGGTAACGTGATTGTGGATCAGATGATACTAAATAATGTGGAGAACAAGCAAGAATTGGGCTAGACTGGAATGTTTCCAGCTGCTGTCATAATTAGCTTCTCAACTTGGCACACAGAGGAAGAGAACCTCAATTGAGGCATTGTCTCCATTGGGTTGGCCTGTAGGTATATCTGGGCATTTCTTGATTACTAAGGTAGGAGGGTCCAGCCTACTGTGGGCAGTGCCATTACTAGGCAGGTGAGCCTAGGGTATATAAAAATGGTAGCTGAACTTGACCCTGGGAGAAAGCCTTTTCCTCTTGGTTCGCCTTGATGATAGGCTTGTAACCAGTACACCAAATAGACTCTTTCCTGCCCAAATTGATTTGGTCAGTGTTTTATCACAGCAAGAGAACAGCTAGGGCAGTTGGCGTTGAAGGCTGCCAGGTGGTCCAGAATAATTAAGACAGAGAAAGCATGGTGAGGTTCATACAAAAACGATGGTAAACTAAAATCTGGCTAAGGGAAAGAGGTCAGTTGAATTTCAGTTTGCATACTAGAGAGACTGAGCTAAAACATTAAAGGTGTTGGGGGACTTTTAAAAGGACATTGGCTCATGCAATCATGGAGGCTAAGTCTAACAGGCTTGTCTAACAAGCCAGATAATGGCGACACACTTGGTAGTGGGGCTTGGTCCAAGTCAAAAGGACTTGGAACCAAGTCCAAAGTCAACAGAATAATTTTCAATCTGAGGCTGAAGGCCCCTTTCTGACATCCCAAGGGCAAGTGAAGAGTGTCTCAGTAGACAGGGATGGGGGTGGGGATTTATTTTTCTGTCTCTTTTTTCCTGGCCTTGAGCCAACTGGATGACACCTGTCTCCACTGTTCAGTTCTTCCTTACAGATTCAACTAGTTTCTTCTGAGAGTTTGTTAAAAAACCACAGCTGGGCTCTGGTGGTGCCATATTGCCCTGGCTGTTTCTAATTGTGTTCTGTCCCCAGTCTTCATGGTTGGGGTGTCATAGGTTTAGGCACTGACTTCTAAGTTTATCTTTGGTCGATGAGTGCTTTCCCCCCTTGGTTTCAGTTTCTTCTGTACTGAGTGGCCTGGGTTCTAGTGACCAGAGCGTTTCCAGGTCCAGTAGGATGTCTCCACTAAGGTTTTTGCAGCCGGCATGATCTCTGGTGTTTTGGGTGCCTCTAGGGTTCCAAGTACCTTTGTGGCCTCTGGGGTTCTGGGTACCTTTTTGGTCTCTGGGGTTCCTAGTGTTGGCCTAACCTCCAGTAAAACAAAAGTCGTCTGCTGGATTTGTGTGCTGGAAACTGGAGCCCAGGGTGCTGTTGTTAGCAGGTAGTGGGCAGTGTCCCTAGAACAGGCCAGATCCTCCAGCCTCTTCTGCCTGAGTGCTGGGACCAAAGGCGCGCACCACCACACCAGGCTAGAGGGTTATTCACACCGGGCTAGAGGGTTATTTAAAGCAAAGCTAACAGGAAAGTATATTGCTCAGCTGTGTGGCCTTGAAAATGAATGATCTTAAAGTTCTCAAAATTATTTTTTAAACTTTGTGTATAGTTGTCTCGTCTGAACATGTGTCACATGTGTGCAGTGACCGAGGAGGCCGGAAGAGGGCGTTGGCTTCCCTGGAACTGGGGCTACAGCTGGTTTCAAGCTGCCATGTGGGTGCAGGGACTAGAACCCAGGTCCTCTGGAAGAGTAGCCAATGCTCTTAGCCACTGAGCCATCTCTCTAGCACTGAAAATGCATGATTTCTAAAGTCAACTTCAAAGTAAACAATTAAAAACAAATGGAGTAGGAAACTCAGTCAGGTCTCAAAAATTTCAAAATCCCAGCATAGCTTGCTTGTGCTGCTTAAGACCCAGCTAGTTGTGGATTATCATTTTAAGATATGTTACATTTGTTTGTGCTGTGGAACATTTGTTTAATGATGCAAAGATGTGCTGTATTCTTTTGTTGCATTTGTTTAATTCTGTGAAGCTCTGTTACTTTGCCTGCCAAAATACCTGATTGGTCTAAGAAAGAGCTGAATGACCAATAGCAAGGCAGGAGAAAGGATAAGCAGGGCTGACAGGCAGAGAGAATAAATAGAATAGCTCTGGGAGGAGAGATAGCTACACAGACAGTCATGGGGTAAGAAGTAAAGCAAAGTAAATAGAATAGAGAAAAGTAAAAGCCCAGAGGAAAAAGGTAGATGGGATACTTTAAGGAAAGTTGGCTAGAAACAAGTAAAGCTAAGGCCAGGCACTTATAAGTAATAATAAAGACCACATGTGTGTTTATTTGGGAAATGGGTGGCGGGCCCCTAAAGAACAAAGAGCCAAAGAGTAAAAACAACCAACTACACCAGCACACATTTTAATTTTTATCTTACCTCCCTTTTATCAGCTACAAGATTCCTGTGCCTCCTTGGCTAAAGCCAATTATTCTTTTTCTAAAGAGTTTTTTGTTTTGTTTTGTTTTGTTTTTTAAACAGGATAATTTTGAACAGGCAATTCAGGTACAGGGCATAAGTAAGATTCTAAGGTTCACAGTGGCCAGCGATGGCCCTCCTCCCTTCATCTAGCTATCTGGAGGCTCTCAGGAGACATTCACAAACAAGTATTTTTCTGCATGCCTGGAGACGTTCAAATCTCTATGTAGAGTCTATAAATGGATTTTTTTCCCCATGTGCCTGAGAAATACGATATATAACCCAGTCTTCATTGTTTAAAGATGTAATGACAGCCATGGTTTTAGATCAGTACTTTTGGAGCTGCCTTTTATAAAATATATTCATAGCACACATTTCCTGATAACATACAAGGGCTCATGGGGAAAAGGGAAATCTTTCAGGTAGAGATGTGTCTTAGGTTCCCTTGGAGACATGGAACCCATGGGTCATATATTGTATGAGATTGCCAAGGCTCAGAAATAACATAATCTGCTGTTGGCATCACGGACAACCAGGAGGGGTGTGGGCTCCAGGCTGAATCTGGAAGAGGGGATCCCAGTCTTTGTCTCCAAATCTGGGGTCTGGGGAACCCGCAGCTCTTGTGTCTGGGGAGAAGAATGGGAAGTTGCCTTTTCTACACCTTTTCTTTCTAGGCCTTCTAGAAACCCCCACGTTGCTGAAGCAGGCTTTCCTAACTAGGCCAGCTGATTGAAATGCTAATGTCTTCAGAGAACACCATGCAGACACACCCATGGTAATGTTTTACCAGCTATCTGGGTTTCTTTTCAAAGTCAGGTCGGCAGTTCATATTAACCACAACAGAGCAAATACCTGTTTCCTAAGTATCTAACTGTGCAGGGCTAGGAAGCGAACACAGATAAGATTTAATTTAGGGAACCAGGTCTTTGTGACATCAAAGGGTTGGAACGGAGCCACAACTCAAGAGTGCAGCCCCAGAAAGCAAAAGGCCACAGCTTGTGCCATCTGCAAGCTAGAGAACAGATCCTGGGTGGCCTAGTCACTACCACTGTCACCTCTCCATTTCCGTCTCCTGATCTGAGGCCAATAACAAGCAGAACGCTGGCTCCTCCTCACCCCTGCCTTCCAGATCATGTGTTAGTATATAGTATTAGTTTCCTCATGATGAATTACCTGACAAAGGCAACTTAAGGAAGGGTTATTTTAGTCAATGGTGTAGGCCCATCAGGCCAAGAAAGGCATGGTGACAGGAGTCTTCAGCTGCAGTGGCAGGGGTGTGAGCTGGCTGCTCTCATTGGCCCATAGTCAGGAATCTGAGAGATGCATGCTGGTTCTCAGCTGCCCTGCCCTTTATGTAATGTAGTCTTGAACTGCAGCCCATGGGATGCTGCCACCATGATCAGGGTGGGCTTCTCTCCTCCGCTTTTTAAACACAGATATGCCCAGAGGTCTCCGTCTAGGTGATTCCCATACACATATGTGATTAACCATCACACCCATCTCATCTAGCAGCCCAATTATCATCTGGGGCAATATTTGCAAAGGTTTTCTGGAAGGTGTGGTTTTAAATGTCCAGCCCCACAGTTCTGATGACATTCTAGCGTCCAAGGGGTCAGGACACTGATAAATACAATATTTTATGCCCAGTAGTGGGCACATTTTTGAATACAGTTGTGTGTGTTAGCATACAGCTTGCAGTTGTGCGTTCCAGTTTTCTGCTATGTTGCACAGAGACCGAGCCTTTTCTGTGCAATAGCTTTGCTTCATCTTTTCTTAAGCTGCCTCCCTACATCACTGTACAGATGTAGCACATCAGTGTAGTTGGTCCCCTGTAGATGGGCATTCTGATGGCTCTCAGAGTTTTACATCTACAGGCCATTATACACCTGGCCTTCAGGCTTTAATATGTACAAACAGCTATGCATCTAGCAATGTTTTACCTAAGCTCTGGTGCTTTCTGAGGAGTGAACATTATCAATATGGGTCCTGAACAATGGGTCTTTTCTCCCACCACAAAGACTGTGCCTGGTAACCAAAGCTCATTCATCTGAGAAAATATCAGTTTCCACAAAACCTCTCTCTCTCTCTCTCTCTCTCTCTCTCTCTCTCTCTCTCTCTCTCTCTCTCACACACACACACACACACACACACACACACACACACACAGTGCTTAATATTTCACAGAGCACTAAGTATCTATATGAAACAGGTAATGCTGGTATACAGTTCTGCCCACAATGACACCTGGGTGACAGTTTAGGTGACATGTCCAAAGTCACACAATTAGTGACAAATGTAGATTGAGCTCATATCATCAGCTTTAAAGTGTGGTTTTCAAGCAGTGCAGGAATAACGTCCTATGTTCTATAAACACAGAGAATGTCCTTACTTTTGTATTACGTTTTGCACACTACGTCTCCTGCTTGGTAACTACATGCTGAGTGAATGAATTGTCATTGGG